CTGTACAGGCTCGCTATGGGTCGGAACCGACTCCACAGCATATAACAACAACAACAACAACAGCAACATTGTCTCGCAATCCAGGGCCCTGAGGCCCTTCCCCACAGTCTGTCTGTTAACCGTGGTGTGTGGTGTGGACACCTGGAAGGACATCTAGGCTAGCGCCAGTTTGGGGGTGCTTCTGTGATTGCTGGTGTGCGGGAGTCGGTGTGGACTCTGAAGTTAGGTTCCATTTCCCTATTTCTCACAGTGTGCTTGGCCCTCTGTTCCCTGGAAGCCACTCTGAGAGCCACACTGAGTGGCCATCTGCTTCTTGTGGGGCCGAGTCTGCGAAGGAAGGAGGAAGATGGGGCCCAGAGGTTCTTTCCAGGGCAGTGCATCTGAGACGTGGTGAGGTCAGGGGGCTGGGCACTTCCTGGGGCAGGCCTGGGGCATCTTCCCATAGACTTGCTCACATCCTGTTCTGGTTTCCAAGGTTTTGGCCTGGAGGTACAGGGCTAGAAGCACTACAGGGCTCAGGTGGAAAGCGGGGGAGAGGGGGTGCCCCGAGCTCTCCTGAGGCATGGAGCGCAGAGAGGGGATGTGTCCCTGACTCAGGAAGCAAGGGAGTCATGTGAACCACCTTCTGTGGGCAGGCAGGCGGGTGGGTGCCAGTAAGACCCACCCAAGTTGAGGAGAAGGGCCATGTCATGGGCAAATGCTGCTGGCCGGGAGGCAGTGGGACACGCCAGCCCAGCTCACAGCTATTTCTGAGGTTGGAACAGGAAATGGTTAATAGTGTTTGCAAATAAAAACTTTCTGTTCTGTCCTGTTTTTGCAACATTTCCCAGAAGTTAGAAAGAGCGCCTAATTTGTTCAATTTAAGAACTTAAAAAAAAAAAAAGTGAAATATTTCCACAATTGATTATAAACAAACATAAAGACGATTGGGTTTTAGGGTGCTTTCTTAAGGTAGTGGGGTCCTAGGTGATGTCTACTTTTCACCCCCACATCTAAAGGAGCCTCAGTAGTGTAGTGGTTCATACAATGGACTGCTAACCACAAGGTCAGCAGTTTGAATCCACCAGTGGTTCTGTGGGAGAAAGAGGTTTTCTGATCCCCCTCAGATTTAAAGCTTCAGAAACCTTTTGTTGTCTGTTGTTAAGTGCTGTTGAGTCAGTTCCAACCCACAGGGACCCTGTATAGGGGTGTCTAAGGAGCAGCTGGTGAGCTTGAGACATCGACCTTGGGGTTCAAACCAGCTTTGCAGTCCAGAGTATTAACCCACAATGCCACACCAGGACTCCTTCAGAAACCCATACAGGGTCGCTATAAATCATAATCGACTTGACAGCATGAGCCCCCCTCCCCTCCCAACACACATCTAAACTTTATGGAAGGTTGTCAATAGCTTAAATGTGAGTATGTCTTTAAAACAGACAAATGCGTGTGTATGTGTGTACATGTATGTTGTTAAATTGTTAAGTGCTGTGGAGTCAGGTCCGACTCATAGCGACCCTGTTTAGGGTTTCTGAGACTTTAAATCTTTGAGGGAGTAGAAAACTTCATCTTTCTCCCACTGAGCGGCTGGTGGGCTTGAACCATGGACTTTGTGGTTTGAAGTCTAGTGCTTATCGTATGGAGTCACTGTGCTTCCTCAATAGGGCATATACAAGGGGCCTTCAAAAAGTTTGTGGACATTTGCCGTTATCTTTTCATTTCATTTTTCATAAACTTTTTGAGGTTCCCTCATGCATGTATATCTATGTATGAATACATGTGTATATATACCTGTTTATGTGTGTAACTTTGTATACCTGGGTATGTGTATGCATGTATGAGTATGTGTGTTTATGTATAAATATGCACATGTGTCCTGGGCTTGTGTGTGAATGTGGTATATGTGTATATATGTATCTATGTATCTAAATGCACATGCATCTGAATGTGATATGTAAGTACATGTGTGTGTAAGCATGGTATATGTGTATATATGGTCTGTATGCATGCATTTGTATGTATCTAAATGCACCTGTGTCTGAGTGTGGTATGTGTATATGTGTGAGTGTGCATACTTCTGAATGTGGTATGTGTTTCTGTGTCTATGTGTATCTAAATGCACATGTGTCTGCATGTGGGCATGGCTGTGAATGCATCATAGTGTGAGTGGACTGAACTCTTACACCGGTACAGTGGTTTTCTGGGGCTCCTTCCTGCCTGTTGGCTGAGTTAGTCACTGGTGCAGTCTGAGCTGGGTGGACGCCATCTGCCCCTATGGGAGGCAGGGCACCACTGGCCCTCACGGTGAATATGGAGCTTTCCTCCTGCCTCATGTGTGCATCATCCCTGCCTCTTGCACATTCAGTAACTGCCTGGGGGCCATGCTGCTACACTCCTACTGTCCTCTCTCTGGTCATCTGACACTGGTCTCTGTGGCTCTTGCTGTCTTCCTGAGGCAGTTGTCCCAGGTGTGACCTTCCTATCACTAGAGATTGGGGTGCAACCCAAACTACTTATTTTGAGGCAGTGGACTGGCCAGGCACTACTGGGCATCCTGGTGTGGCACTGTAGGATAATCACTTGACCGTAAGGTTAATTTGAATCACAAGGCTGGCAGTTCAAATTCACCAGCCGCTCCTGGGAAACCCCAGGGTTTCTTTGAGTCAGAATGGACTTGACTGCACTTAACAACAATGACAACTCCTATTGAGTGTGGAGGGGAGCTTCCCGGGAAAGAAACATCCCCAGAGTGCCTTGTGTGGGTATTACCACCTGGCAGAGAGCTTCGGACGTGGGCACATACCTTTCTTCTGTGCCGGGGATCAGCTCCTGTTGGCCAGTGGGTCACGGGTCTGGGGAGGGGGCCCTTTGTTCCTGCCAGAGCCATGTCACTCTGCAGCCCAGGGAGGATGCTGGCCCCATTCGGACTCATAGTGACCCACGTGCTTAGAGGTCAGCTGTGCTCATAGAATTGTCAGGGGCTGATGTTCTGGAAGTAGATTGCCAGACCTTTCTTTTGAGGTGCCTCCAGGTGGGCTCAAACCTCAACCTTTCAGTTAGCAGCTGAGTGCAGTCACTGTTTGCACACCTGGCAACTAGCTTGCTGCTTTTCCCGCCTGGGAGAGAGAGGTGTTCCTTCCCAACCTCTCTGCAGCCATTTGGATAAAGGTGAAGGTGGATGTGCCTCTGCTGGTCCCTGAACCTGTGTGTGCACCACTCAGGTGGTGATTTGTCGCCACGATCCCACTCTTGGCATCTCAGTGGCCAGACCAAGAGCTGACCCTCTCCACCTGCCAGTCCCAGAAGGCATGTTGTACTTCTGCTGAGAGCTGTCCAGTGGGAAGGACACTCTGGGCCCCACCTTCTGCTATGAAGAAGTTAAGTGTATGTGATGGCCCTGCCCGCTCAAGACCTCCTCCCGAGCAGGCTTAATCACTGTGTACCCTCAGAGCCTTCCTCAGTTTAGCATTTTCATTGAAGAATAAGGATGTTGCACCGTCTGACCTTGCAAGCCCCGTGCTACTTGTCCTTTCTCAAGCCCCTTTGAATCTGGCTGAAACATTGGCTGAGTCTTTTTTCTGAGTTCTTTGTTTATCATTGGGCCCTGGCAAAGTCCTGCTGCCTACAACAGGGGGAGCCAGACTTAGATATATGGAATGCAGAACCCAAGATTCCATTTGCCTAGCGCTCAAAGCCAGCAAGATGAAAGCGAACATTTAGGGACACATCTTAGAAAACCCAGGAAGAGAAGCATGGGAGAGCTCACCTGTGGGGCTGGCAGTGTGCTGACGTTGGGGAGGAGTGAGGGGAGAGCTTTGGAAACTGGCGAGGTTCTCCTCCTAGGTGGTGGTGATCTAGTAATTTATAATAATTTGCTAAGCCATAGGCTTGTCATTTAGACATTTGCACGCAAACGTGTTTTTTTAATGAATAAAACGTTTGAAGACAATTAAACCCCACGGGAATAGTTTCAACAAAGCACAGCTTTGTTTGTAACAGCAAGAATTAACTCTTTGTGGTTCAGCAATGAGTCACACCAAACCCTTTCCGTCAAGTTTGTTGTGACCCCCTAGAGACCCCGTGTGTTATAAAGTACAACTGTTCCATCTTCATGAAAGTATATTTCCAGGTTTTTCTTCCACGGTCCTGCTGGGTGGCTTGAACTGTCTGTTAGCCTTTAGATTAGTGCTAAACCATTTAGCACCACCCAAGGGTTCCCTTCAGCAGTAGAGACAGGGTAAAGAAATTGCCTAGCATCTTGTTAGTTTGCTGTGAGGCTGGCAGCTATACCACTGATATTCCTGACATACCAGCAGGATCCCTGAAGGTGATGAAGCACAGTCGCCAACAGAAGACAGATGAAGAGGAAAGGTTTGGTAATCTACTTCCAAAATGTAGCCAGTGAAGATCCTCTGGTCACAACTGAGCACTGTCCAACAGTGTGCTGGAAGATGAGTCCCCTTGGTAGCAGACACTCAGAAAACACAGTGGCAACTAACATGGGCTCCAACACTTGTGAACAGGGGTGCAGACTGAGGGACAAGAAACAACCACAGGTGTCAGCTATTTAAGAAGGGCTGGCTGACTCCTTTTCAGCACAGAACACTGTTCACTGCCTGCTATCCATGAAAAGAACAGGTTACCAGGTAATGCTTTTTGTATGATCTCCTATTGTGAAAACAAATCTGAACATATATGTGGAGCATGTATGTGTGAACACGATTGATGGGTGGGGCACCAGGAATGACTAGATTGTACATTCTTCTGATTTTAAATGATTTAGTTCTGCTTTTTCCAATGACGAAAATGAGTTGCTTGCGTCATTAAAAGTATTTGAAATGATAAAAGAAAAGACCTGGGCTTCGTTTCCTGGAGACAAACCTGGTTGCCATGGAGATGCTGCTGGGTCCAGGCAGCCCATTGGCCGGTGCTGCGATGCTCAGTGCTCGTGATGTGAGAGATTTCTTGTAGCCCCCGGACCCTGGCCGCCGTCACACCGCACTGCGGAGCCCAGCGCCAGCATGGACAGACCTGGAGCCGACGTGTGGGCCACAACCTTCCGACAACTGATGACCGAGACCAAGCCCCAGGACACCTGGGTGCTGCTCCCCGAGGGTAACCTGGTGGCCGGCCGCCTGGACCACGGCTGCTCTCAGTACAGGCTGAAGGGACTCGCGAGGTAAGCTGGCCTGCGGGGTGCTTCTGTGGGATCCTGAGTGGAGGAGGGGGAAGGGTTGTTTGGTCGAAGCCCCACTAGTGGCCTGAGCCCAGGTGACCAGGAGAAGGTGGGTGTGAACCCAACAGGTAGGTGCGATTAGGAGCAGGTGGGTGTGTCCTGGAGTGGGTGGGTGTGTCCTAGAGCAGGTGGGTGTGTCCTGGAGTGGGTGGGTGTGTCCTGGAGCAGGTAGGTGTGTCCTGGAGTGGGTGGG